AGAAGTCGTTCGCGACCACGTGCTAAATACGTATTTCCTTTGAAAAATCGGCACGTGCCGCGACATTTAAGCTTCAGCGTAGTCGTTCGATGCTAAATATAAAACATCATTTAGGGCATGACGCTTTGAACAGAAAAATACAATACAAGTAGTAAACGTTATGTAAAATGTTTTGTATTATATAAAATGCAAACTGAATTATCTTTTATGCATTCTCGTACTGCTTATCCGATTATATTGAAATTATACACATTTTACTGGTGGTCAGTGTATTATAAGCTTACACAGGTATCATCATTTTATTTCTGCTAAACGTGGTTTTGGTAATTTTTAGTAAATACTTATCTCTTATAATACGTGAAGCAAAAACTTTGTATCCCTTTTTCGAAAATTGCGCGGACGGAGGTGTATGAAATTTTCCACACTTATAGAGAATATAGAGAAGAAGTGCACAATGCTAATATTTTTTTTAAAATAATGCATAATAGATACATTAAATCAATAAAGAAAACATTACACACACTACATACCATGTATTTGACGCACACACGCATGCATACTATTTATTGTCAAACTTTTGTTTTTGACGTCTGTTGTCAAATTGAGAATAGATTAAATATTGTTTGTCTTTGTTAATATTTTTATATAAATTTGTGATTATAGAAGTATAAAATACAATCATAATAGTGTACAAATTTACAATTCCAATTAATTATAGTCGAATTTCGACTACTGCGGGATCTCTAGTTTATTTAAATTTTCGACAATTCACACGCGGTACAAATAAAATCTTTAGAAGTATTCCATATCATTCTTTCGAAGACGAAATCCTTTATCCATTATTTGTCTCTTTTTAATGTAATTACCGTTTCATTGGGTTCAAATCTTAGTGTGGCTAAAGAGTGCTGATGCTGTCTCCTGGCTCACTCCTCATCTAATATAGTGATTGAAGCTTCAACGTTTTGTGTTCTATCGTTTTCTTAACTGAAACAGAACTAATTTTTACAAATAAAATAAAAGCATGTATCGTCTTTTCGCATTAAAAGTGTACAGTTTCCCAAAAATGTTCGAAATTGAGTTAATATGCGTAAACATTTGGTATCACCGGTATTTTTCTCATCAATACTGTCAAAAGACGTTATTTAGTTTCTTTAGTTTACCTATGATTAATACATAATTTTATCTTACTTTAAAAGACAGATAATGTAACTGGTAAAAAATCAAAAATAAATGTTGCTATTAAGATTGATTTTAAAAATAATACATATTAAGCCTTTAAATCACTCTCCTGTAAAATTAGTAAGTTTTGAGTTTATACAGTTTTAATGCGAGAAGATGATATAATGTTTCGGATATTTGAGAACGGCGAAAAATTTTCAATATTAATACTTATAATGCGTAATCATTTATGAAAGAAACATAACGAAATAGGAATGTTTAATCTGGTGTCATTGTTCAAAGAATACAGGCGTAAATTATTTATATGGTCAAAACGAAATTCGAAGTTTACCTTAACTAGGCATGTTGTAACAATGACTTTTTTTTGTTATTAGGAATTCGGGCTTCCGCTCTCCACTAGGGATAGCGAGCGGGGGATGTCGGAGTTGAACCGACTAAAAACCTCCTGTCGCTCAGCAACTCACGTCCGATCCTCGCATGAGACAGAACTCATGAAAAGTCAAAGGGGGAAAGTGAAGCGTTTAATGCAGAGCACGTCTTTCGAAATCGGGTCCTCCGAGCTCTGGCCACGCTGAGGCTGGGACGCGTTACGCCTGGGCACGAAGGTCAGCACGCCACTGATAGTCAGCGGCAAGCGCCTCCGCCTCCAGGACCCAAGGTAGCGTCCCAGCCAGTACACACGCCGCCTCGAAGGAGAGGAACGATGATATACGTGTTTGTCGATGATGAAGAAAATAACGACACATGCATCACGGAAGCTTTTTTTGCATTGACGGTCTTTAAGTCGAAGCACACAATTCTTGTAAGTCAAAAATAAATATTGGTGACCGATACTTAGTGGTCGCTCGATCTAAGGAATTTACCAATTAAATCAATCGAGAATTTTGTGTACATTTAAATAAAATAATTACTATTTTGTTTACTATTGTTTACTATTTTGAAAATAGTCAAAATAAATACGTCCTTTATTTTCTCCGATGACTGAAACAATGTGATAATGTTTTTTAATAATTATTCCAATCATAATCGATTTAAAAATGAATCGAATAGTAGACCCTATATTTAAAATAAATAAAAATCCCTTCTCTTTTTTCGACTATTTATGAGGCTTGTAAAGAAAGTCGATTTTTTTTAGAAATAAACATGTAAAGGTATTCTTCTAATTAAGAGCCAACCATAAAATTGAAGCAAAATATCATAAAAAAATCAAATTCAAACACTTTCACATTAACAGAGCAAATCTGATCATGTCATTTGACACGACGAATATGTTATTTTAATTAATAATTGTTAATATACATAGCGAGCAGTAATATTGCATATTTTTTATGACGATGTTATGTTTATGTTTATTTATATTAAATTATGAAGGTATACATATTTTAGTTTTAGATAAAATTAATTTAAGAGTATTTAACGAATTTAGACTTTGTCTCATACATATTCATAATCTGCCCCCCTTTTATTTTTGCGAATACTTTTATTAATATTTTTATATATTATTTTTTTAAATTATATTTTATATCATAAGCATGTGAAACTGTAATTTCTACCGCCCGAAAATTTAATTTAAATATGGAGGAATTGTAAAAAATTTAGCTAAGCCGAAATATAAGGTATTCAGATATATCACTCATGTCTCACAATATGTTATCTGACGAAAATTTATTTTCGTTGCAAACCTCTTTAAACACGTTCCCGTGACTCAAACAAATTGATTAGTGATTTGAGACAATGCACAAAACGTGCCGTCACGTGCTGGTAACCTTTGTCATTGGCAACGTAAACACTCTATTATATCAGGAGGGGGTTATTCGAACATCGAACGATTTTGTATTTCGATTTATACTATGTGCAATAAGCTTTTAAATGTCTAATACATAATTGATATTTTGTAGATGATGGTAATTTAAATTTTTAATACCTATTATGTTTAAGTCTACTATTCTGCAAAATTATTGTTACGCGTTCACAATTAAGTAGTTCTTAAAATATTTAGATATATTTTGTTATCACTATGTATTGTTGTATAAGTTATCGGGTTTTATAACATGCATACCATAACATAACATGCAACAAACATAACTATGTTTTATAACATGAAAACTTTATTCATTTATTATTATTATTATTATTTATTTATATTTATTTAAAATCTTATTAATTGCACAATATTTTTAAAAAAGATATTTAAATACAATTTTTAAAAAACTATATGATATATATAAAAATAGATTGCCGCTGATGGCGGTGTCTACGACACAAGCCACCAGTGGTTAGGACTCCAGAGTGAGAAACCTCCTCACAATGCGTGCAGTATCGAGGATAACTGCTTTCTTATTATTATTAATAAATAAATAATTTAGAAAGGCTGAACATTAATTTCAATCAATGTGAAAAAGCCAATCGAGGGTGATTAGATTTGAGAATAGTCTCTATAAACACGGACTTCTCGCAGCTTCGACTATGACGCATAATATAGGAATAATAATTAGGCATATCGATTACAGCTCCATTGAACTCTAGTAGGCATTATTATGCGAACGTTTATAATAATGGCATAATACGAAAATTTCAAAGACATCTTATAAATACATCGTACTTTACAAATTGAACGTTTTACGAGAATTCATTTACCCTTTAACCCAATGGCCGTAACGCACAGTGGTCCGTTTTCGTTTTCTCGAAATTTTAATCCACTATTAGGCTCACTATTGTTGTACTTACAAACGGACTATTGACTCTACAAAAGGTTAAATGAAGTCACAACGTGAATTATTACAATAATTATATTGTGTTACACCATACTATGCTATTATGTAGCTGAAAAGTTACCGGAGTGCAAACAATTACATATTATTTTGTGATAATACCTACATTGACCCGACGACGGGGGCATTGTATTGAAATCAAATTGTCGACTTTTTCTCATATTAAGAGAAATAATATTCGACTCAAAACTGTGAAGCGAAGACGTGAATAAATTATAATCTACATATCTATATATTAATACGTGAAGCAAAAACTTTGTATCCCTTTTTACGAAAATTGCGCGGACGGAGGAGTATGAAATTTTCCACACTTATAGAGAATATAGAGAAGAAGTGCACAATGCTAATATTTTTTTTAAATAATGCATAAAAGATACATTAAATCAATAAAGAAAACATTACACACACTACATACCATGTATTTGACGCACACACGCATGCATACTATTTATTGTCACACTTTTGTTCTTGACGTCTGTTGTCAAATTGAGATTAAATATTGTTTGTCTTTGTTAATATTTTTTATAGTGTAGTCTTGGCAAAATTTGTAATTATAGAAGTATAAAATACAATCATAATAGTGTACAAACTTACAATTCCAATTAATTATAGTCGAATTTCGACTACTGCGGGATCTCTAGTTACTATTAATACTGCGTTTATTGTCAAACTTTTGTTATTGTTGAAAGTCTGTGGTCAAATTGAGAATAAATTAATATTGTTTGTCTTTAATACTATTTATCTATGGTGTAGGCGAAATCTGTGATTATATTAAAGAAGTCTAATAGTGTTTGACAATAGAACCATAATTATTTTTATAAAGAAGAATCTGAGATTAAACAAGTATAATAATTTTTGACAACAGAATCATAATAGTGTAATAAACTTATAATTTCAATTAATTATAGTCGAATATTGACTATCGGGGACCACTAGTAAAAATATTTTTTTTAAGATACGATCTTTAATAAAAATGAACACCACGAGACGTTAGTAAATGAAAACAACAATTACTATCATATTTTAATTGTATATAATTAGTAACTGTATAACATAATCGAAATTCAATCGCATTCAAAATAGCCTTTTGGTTGTCAATCAGCGAACGTAGTAAGTGTATGGGGCCGAGTAGGTGTAGGCAGAATAGCCAAGAGGTGAGTAGGCGGAATATGCAGAGTACGCAACAGGTGAAGTATATGCAGCGGCAACTGGGGCGGTGTAGGCAACTGGGTACTCATACACCAAAGGCTTTGCGGCAGCAAACGCAAGAATAGCAGCGAACAGCAGCTGAAAAATGACAATGTATTATATTCCTACTGGTACCACCACCCTGCCTATTTCTGCCGTGAAGCAGTAATGCGTTTCGGCTTGAAGGGCGGGGTAGCCGTTGTAACTATACTGACACCTTAGAACTCATATCTCAAGGTGGATGGCGGCATTTGCTTTGTAGATGTTAATGGGCTCCGCTAACCACTAAACACCAAGTGGACCGTGAGCTCGTCCACTCATCAATACAATAAAATATATTAGCCAGTAGGCAGCGACTTGGCTATGAACCTGGCGTAAGCATATAAGGACTGTACGCTTGTGTATTTGCAGTGGCAACAAATAAATTAGGGTTCAAATAATGAATATTATTCGTGTCTTAGGGAAAATTAGTATTAATTTATTTACTAAGAGCTATCCAAGTCGAATTGAAAGCGTTTTCAATATTTAATAATAATAGAAACCATAAAGGTACTCACATATTTGAACATGTTGATTAAAGTGGACTCGTACGACCAAGTATTATTCTCAAAATGCCGATGCACAATGATCAACAATTGACTCGCGCCTGTTTTTATATTCAAGCATCTGTTGTATATCTCTGGATAGAATAAGGTTACTCACCCGGATAAGCAGTCCTATATCCTCCTCTAGCCTGTTTAGCATTATAGTCACGCGCGGCCTTCTCATTCAGGGCACACTACTAAAAATATTACTTACTAGATCAAGGATTCGTATCCGGTTCTTTTGCATTTTTTACTAAAAATAAAATTTACATTATGTCACTCAAAAAACCAGTAACGTGTTTAGAAAAACTTATGAAGTATTTTCTGTTCGCCTGTTGTTTTATTTTTGAAGGTTCATGTTTGAGTCGCCTATATAAAAGAGATGGTAAACAACATCCAGATTGTACCTATACGACTCGTCTCTAAAATAAAGGTCTAAAGAGATATTATAAGCTTAAAAATTATACCCATCGCTTAAACGTTATTTAAAAAAAAGCAGATCCGACCTTGTTATGCCTATATCGGATATTGGTATTGGACTATTGGCATTGTTATAATTGTCTTTCATTCCTTATGTGTACAAGTATAAAATAAATAAGTAGCAGCTCAACGTGTGAATGTCAAAGTCAATGATAGTTACAAAACCATCCGTAGTTTGAAAGGTAAGACATCCGGTGTCTTTAATAAGGTGTTTCGATTGTGCATTGGTTCGGACTCTAGCGCTGGTGTATTGTTCTTCGTAAATATGTACCTAACATGAGGTTTACCAATAATTCCATTAAATTATCATTCGATAGTTAGATTCCCTATTTCGTAATCCTGGACCCCACCATCACCTATGTTAAGTTTTGGATGTGGGCGTAATGCTGGTAGTCTCACCGCTAGTTCTGACCGGCCTATTTGGGCCTAGATTGGGTCTACTCATATATGGTAGTAAAAATATTATTTACAAATTTTATAAACTATATCATAATTAACAGTATTATAAAAGTTATAGATAGATATCAACTAAACATATAATAATTATGAAAACTACATTTAAATAATTTACAAAGCAACTCAATATGAAAAACAGCTATTTTCCGATAAGGGTCTCAATAGTACCAGTTTTTTTGTTGTTAAATGGACATGTTCATTAACAAGATTTCTCGCGAATTTGATGTTTAGTATTAATTAATTATGGATGTTTGATTGCTCTGTTTGCGTTATGTCACATAATTTATGTGTCAACTAACGTTGATATAGGATTTCCGCCAAATACTGGAATTGGGTGACGGACAAATTACGCATAAAGTAATATACTATTATATTTATTAATTAACTAGTTTTATTAATTAGAAGGCGGAACCTCATCCATATACTTAATATTAGAAGCTATTGCTTAGCTATTACTTACCATAACTACTCTTACTCGCCACTATTCCCATAACTACTACACATAAATAAATACAGTTTTTTAGTGTTCATTACAGTTAGATTCTATGCTAAATTTCGACCTCAAAACAATTTTGCAGCTTAATATATGTGTACTATGTCAATCAGGTTATTAAATTTAATAAATTCATTTGCATATTAGATTATCGAGTTAGATTATATCGATTAGGTTATCGATACGCCCTTGATGTCCATTGCTGGCCAATACCAAATTCTCTGTTCTAGTGCAGTGTGACAAATATTCGAATTTCAACGCCCGAATGGCTTAGTATTCCAACCAGGCACGGGAAGGTTGTTTCATCACTAGTATCTTGAAACAAAAGCAAACGTATAAAACAAATTGAATTTTACTAAAGGGCATCAGACGTCAGAATTCTGTTCCACTATTAACTTTAGCTCCCATAAATTAAAACATAAACAAAATGTTTAAGCTGGTAAGTGACGTATTTAATGGATTAATATATCTTTATTTGTTCATTTAATTAAGCTTATCAGGTTCTGTGGGCGAAATTAACAACAATTTATTCAATGGCACGATTTTTTGAAAGTTTAAAGAATTTTAAATTAGAGCCTTAACTAATTCGGAGTCAGCTAACACCTCTGGCTCGGTGACCCAACGTAGACTTCAATGTAGGCCTCCTAATTTTACACTTTCATCTGCCACTAGTAATTAATATGCGAAATAAAATGTTTTTTAGAAATAAATTTTTGCGAAATCAATTTAATTTTCTTCAGTCGAATTGCAGATATAAATAAACCGAATTTTCTGGAACAATCACGCGTTTAGTGTTTTTATTTTATTTCCGACTTTAAGAATACTTTACAGTTTTCGTGATCACATCTACGACTACCGTTTAATTGTATATATATATATATATATTTATTGTTTAGATGGGTGAACGAGATCACAGCCTACCTGGTGTTAAGTGGTTACTGGAGCCCATAGACATCTACGACGTAAATGCGCCACCCACCTTGAGATATCAGTTCCAAGGTCTCAATATAGTTACAACGGCTGCCCCACCCTTCAAACCGAAACGCGTTATTGATTCACGGCAGAAATAGGCGGGGTGGTGGTACCTACCCGTGCGGACTTAGAAGAGGTCCTACCACCAGTAAAATTTGGGGACATTTAGATTTTTCTTACAAAGAAAGAGCTATAACCGTATCATTTTTACAGTTTATCTTCGCCTGTGTCCTTGCCTTCGCTGCAGCCAAGCCAGGCTATTTGGTCGGTGACGTCGCACCGGTAGCCGCTGCCTATACCGCTCCTATAGCTGCGGCATACACTGCTCCTCTTGCCTATTCAGCCTATTCCGCGTATACTGCACCAGTAGCTGCCTACTCAGCCTACCCGTACGCCTCGCCCTACGCAGCTTACTACCTCCGTCGTTAATAAAAACAAAAACCCGAAAATCATGTTAATCGTGTAAATCTTATGAACATTAAACACATGGGTATCAAAATATTCGCTAATCTCTAAAGAATTATGTATTCGTCAACAAAGAGCCTTTTCCATTAACCTGGTCTTTCAAAAATTCCCTTGTCCTTCAAGTATCGAGTGTGTGTCAAAGATGTGTAAGTAAATATTTTGTAGTAACGATAATATTTTCGACCGAACGTCAAACGAAACAGGATCAAAACAACCCTCCGATAAACACTACGCTTCAGAGGATATTTTTTCCGCCTCCACAAAATCGTGTCATACCTACTGCGTCACATTTTTATCGTAAATTAATCAGTTCAACGAATAAAGCCTTATAGATTGCTCACTTCACGTGCGCGATGTAAGAATATAAAAGTATAAATTTTTTTTTTTAATTGTAATAAGATTCATACTTTTGTTCAAAACGATCAAACTTTGAACACTGAACCAACTGATATTTGTATGACTTGATGTTGTAGCATAAAAACATGTAATGGCTTATTGCAAAATTATAAATTATTAAATATACCCAAAAATATTTATATGCCTGTGTATTTTCATGGGATGTATAGTGTTTTTGGAATAAAACTAATAGGAAGATTTGTAGGTTATTTACATAGAAGTTACCAATACTTCAGTAATTTTTCGTTTACAGCTTTTTTTTTATTACCTATCTAAGCTGGTAGCCTAGAGAGGTTATTCCAGCGTAACCGTAACTAGTAGGTGAGCTCACGGGGCTCAAACCTGACGACGATGCTAACACGAACCCTAGCAAGAGCCGTGCTTCGCAGAATCTACCACCGGATCGGAAACGCGACCCACTGAGAAGATCCGGCGAGAAACTCAGTGGGCTGTGTCTGAGAGTTAATTTACTCGTCGAGCCCTTCGTCGCAAGCGACGGGTTCGACGAGAACGGTGACCGGTGCTTCAAGTACCTAGAAGCCCTGTTAGTGGATCGGGAGAAATGGCGTTTACAGCGATACGAAGTGAATTCAGCGTGAATGCTGGCTGGATATTTCATATCGGTGGTTGCAAGAGCCTGGAAAAGCTACTCCGCTAATTCTAAAGGAACCCTTAAATATCGTTAGTAACACTGGAGAGGATTTATGGCCGGTGTCTAGAATTCTTGCTACTACCAGCAGCTGAGCTACCACTGTGGTTGAAGATAAATCAAAAAGTTCTTTGAAGCGCAAATCATTATCTAAAAATTCAATTATCAAACTATATTAATTTTGAATGATATAAATGACACAATATTAATACATGACTTCATATTTTGATCTAGTCATTTCTGAAGCGAAATACAGAAAAACGATATATGGCCAATTGTGCCACCTGGTGTGGCACCTAGGTGTTCACTGTTCAGGAGTCCAGGTGTTCACCAATTTGGCTTAATCAACAAATGTTTCACTGTGTAAATGTTTTTTGAAAATGTGTGCCTGAAATTAGTTTTATTAGCTTAGTTGATTATGATAGGTCACGGGCGTTCAAATACATCCAGAGGCAAATTTCTACCCTAGACACATCCTTACGGATCCCTCAGATCCAACAACCTTTGCCTTATACGCCTTCAACTCTAACACTAGGAGCAGGCTAAGGGACCCCGGTAACCGTACTCGTCGAACTCAACAAAGAGTTCGACGTGCAACCTAACCCATGTATCAGTTCGCTGAGTTTCTCGCCGGATTCGAGAAGTAGCTGCTCTTGAGTTGTTAGGTCTCATTCGTAGGCGCTCGGGCAGCTGTTAGCGAATCTCGCCCCTCTTGGCTGACCCTTTGCTCGCCCAGCTGTCTTTGTGAAATTGGAAAGACCTCCGGGCCACCAGTGATCCTTCAATCCTATTTAAAAAAAAGATAAATTCCGTAGCCCACCTTGAGATATAAGTGTCTATTGTTTTGTAATAACGATCATTAAACGGCCTTATTGAATTGTCGAAACCCAAACTAAGGAAATGGATACTAAAACATGTATTTTTTAAGCTATTGCATAGATTTTATCGCAGGCCTTGAGCGCGGCTTGAGAGCGGAATCATGAAATTCCGTAACGAAAAAAACCTTCCACCCCTCACTACACCTACTATGTAGCTCACGTTCAACACATTCACACGTTACGCTTGTGTAGTGTTTGTGAATAAGCGCGTGGCGTGACGTCACACTGCATTTTGTTTGTTTTATTGCATAGATGGGTGGACGAGCTCACGGCCCACCTGATGTCAAGTGGTTACTGGAGCCCAGATACATTTACAACTTCTTTTTTTTGTTTGTTTACCATGTAGCTCGCGTTCAACACATTCACACGTTGTGCTTGTGTAGTGTTTGTGAATAAGCGCGTGGCGTGACGTCACACTGCATGCGCATCATGAAAAGTCTGCCCATCTCTAGACGTTCTGCCACCACTTAATGAAAACATCCCTTCGTAATACCTTAGTTTATATATAAAGGATTTCTAAGTCAATTTCAAATGAGATTGAACGAATTGAGATTGAACAGAAATTTTAACATCAAATTTCACGTTCTATTTATAGTTCGCATAGTTCAAAAGCGCTCTATGATTTGTGTTTATACGTATGTTTGTTATCGTAGGCGATTCAGATACGCTCCTTCTACGACCTACACTGAATTATTTATGATAAAATCAGGGAATGAAATACAAAAATAAACATTAATTATAATAGACTGACAGTCACAATGTTTACGCGTATTGGAGATGAACGATATTTTTTTTCAATTTACAAGAAAATTCAGTGACTATCTCAGCGGGGTTCGCAGGTCGAGTTTGACGAATACTCTGCCCTAAGCTTCGACTGTAGCTGGATTTAGAACTAGTAACGTCCTACGGCATCGAGAGGGGATCGAGTGGATCGATCACAACGTGACTACACTTGCGGCGACGGTGATTATCTGAGTTGTAGTCAGCGCCTATGCAAAGGGGTGACTGTGTCGCATTAGTGTATAATGTTTCGACGCTTTCTCATTCATGGATCATACCACAAAAACGTGAATCAGATATTAATGGCGTATAATACTGATTTAATTTTTAGATGACAGATTTTATTAACCTTAAAGTGCAGATGCTCGCTTGGAGCCCCCAAGCGAACCATCTTGCCCATTTCTACTGCGAAGCATTCATTAGATCCAGTTTGATGGATGGTACAATCTTTATGCAATGTTTTGGAGAGTTCAACTCAATGCCGTAACATGTGTGATGACATTCACGTTATAGGCTCCGGTACCTACTGTATACGTTCTGGGCCGTAAAGTCGCCCCGGTGTGGGAGTAAAAAGACATAGACAAAATAAACTTTTCACGAAATGCATGATACGTAGTTAATAACGCTACCCGTTCTTTTTAACATTTTTTTTAAATTTTTTGTTATTGCGTAGAGGGATGGACGAGCTCACAGCCCACCTGGTGTTAAGCGGTTACCGGAACCTATAGATATCTACAACGTAAATACCACCACCCACCTTCTGATATCAGTTCTAAGGTTTCGGTATAGTTACAATATACATTTCAAACCGAAACGCATTACTGCTTCACGGCAGAAATAGGCAGGATGGTGGTACCTACCAGTGTGGACTTACAAGTGGTCCTACTAATTTCAATGCACTTATATCTTCATCATTTTCGTGAGCTGCTATCATTTAGAACTTACGATTCAAAATAAAAATAAGACGTTACGTAATACTATTTACGCAAAACGTAAAACAATCTTTGGATATTATTTTTTAAATTGAGTCGCGTGCTCTGACTTGACGTACTCTTTATTAATTAACGTTTCATTAAAACTTTTTCGATAAACGTGACGAGAGGGATCTGTATTTACAACTCTTTTCAATTTAATCCATAGATTTGAACTTTTGATTAAACGGCCGTCTGGTGTAGTGGTAAGTGACATGGTCACTACACAAGGGGGTCGCGGCTTCGAATCCCGCCAAGGGAAGATATTTGTATGATAAATATAAATGTCTTTTCCAGAGTTATGGATGTATATAAAATATATGTATGTTTATAATAAAAATATTACATTTATTTCCGTTATCTGGTACCTGTAACAACACAAGTTCTTTACGAACTTACCACGGGACCTGTTAACGTAGCGTGATTGTTAGTAAATATTTATTATTATTTATTATTTGATTTTGTACCACTTCCGTTTTCTTATGTTAACGATGTTCGAATTTACCTGATCTGATCCAAATTAATCTTGTCCAAGTTATTGCCAAAGTCTATAGCTGTTTGTAGGTCATCTTTTACTTTGTGATTGGGTTTGTGTCATAGAACTACACATTTGTAGGATCGGGCCAACAAATTATAACAGATCAGTTCGAATTTGTCTTTTCATTGTTCTAGTATTTTTTTTATCATACGCAAGAAATATACGATTTTTGCTCTTAAGTCTTTTATTTAATAATTTTGTTTTTTACGTTACCGTGATCTTGTTGTTTCGTAATACTGTGTTGTCAGGAATAGAAATTAAATTATAAAATTTAATAACATCGAAATATAACAATCGTCCAACATACATACATATTGTATATATATATGTCGTGGATAACGACTTTTAGTTGTCGTGGCATTCCGTGTCAGACAGTCATTCCGTCCGTCTCAGTCAGTCAGTCAGTCAGTCAGTCAGTCGGTCTGTCGGTATGTGCAACGAAACTGTCGGTTTATCCTATCATTGTGAAAGTTGTGTGTGTTGAGTTTCAATAATTATTATTCAATAGGTTTTATTGACTTTTTATAAACTGAGTTCAACCAAATACGAGTGATGACGGAAACTACCGCTCAGCCATCCCTGACGTGCGCCAACATATATATATCGACGCTTGAAAGGCAAACGTGACCAAGCGACAATGCGTGAACTTTACAGTAGTCTAATTTAAAGTTGAAATACCTGAAAAAAAAATCTATTTTAACGAATCTAGCTGTAAGATTGAAATGATTTTAATAGACCCAGAAATATATTTTTTTGCGCATCGAATATGGTTATTGTCTATCATTTATGTACAAAGCAGTCATTGTCGCTTAGTTACGTTTGCCTTTCAAGCGTCGATATGTATGTATATTTCAATCGTATATATACCTAGTCTTGCCAAAAATACTGAGGCAAAGGAAAAAAAAATTCTATTGCAAATAACATTTATTATTTTACCGTGTGTTAGTTTAATACATAAATATAAAACAATTTAAATTATAAAAAGCTTATTCCAAGTGGTCTCCATTGGCTGCAATACAGTCCTTTAAACGTTGAGGCCATTTATCAATAGAAGAAGCACGCACTCTTTCCATGGGAAAATTTTTAACTGCCAATCGTACGGATTATTTTAGGGACTCCAAATTATCATGGCGTTTAGAGCAAGCCGTACTCTCTAAAACTGACCATAAATCATAATCCAGATAGTGCCCACGTTGCACTTTATCGACTAATTGGTAAGCTTCCTTGGAGCTTTGAGCATAAATACGGTCATTTTGTTTGTTAAAATGTTGCTCAATTGTAAATTTCTCATCCGTAAACAAAAGTTTGTTCCCTTTGCGTACCGCTTCAGTAGGGGAAAGTGGGGGATATACGAACACCTAAGGGAAAACTTAAATAAAACAATGGAATTTAATCACAGATTTTTTTATTTTTTTTAATTATATAGTTTACTTATCTGTCTAACTTATTCACTAATCATCATTTATATTTTTTTAATAAACTGCAACAATATGAAAGAAAAACAAAAGCCTTAGTGTTCGGCTTTGCCCGACATCAGTCGGGTAAATACGAACACCAAGTGGGGTGATTACGAACCAACATTATTAACGACATAGATCACATTTAAAACCCAACGATGTTGACTGTCCGTCAGTACAACTCTCGTGAGCCCATTTTTTGCACACATAGCACACAATCTAGTCTTCAACGGGAGGATCTATATATTTATGTCTACAAAAATACAAAAGTAGTCTTTATTTTCTTTTTCGCTTTTTTCTTTTTTTTTCGTATTTTGACTAGAGTCACTAAAGTCTTTTTTTATATTGTTCAAATTCTTTAATAATATTTCATACTTCTTGTTTGAAGGTATTCTCTCATTACATTTCAGTCTTTTTATTTGGGTTCCTTTTTTGCCATCTTTCCGTTTTCTTCTTGATTTCTTACGTTTCCTGATCATCTGTAAATAAAGGTTTTCATCCAACCATGGCTGTATTAACACTTCTTTCATTAGATGTTCAAAATTAGTGGTTTTTGGAACATTATATGTTTCTGCTGCTTTACGCAGGGAGAGTTTTTGGTTTTAACATCGTCTATAGCCTTTTTGAGATCTTCTAAACTATACTTCAGTTCGGTCTTTCTTTTTTAAGTACAAGGCATCTGTAATAATATTTAAAAAAAAGTTGAACGGGGTACTAACAAACGGGAGTGGGGTAACGGCGAATGTTCGAGATTGCCCGACATGGAGTGTTCGTCTTTACCCCGCGGAGTCGAAAATAATTAAAGGTAAAAAAACAATTTTGGTTAAATTTATTTTGCCTACTACATCATTATCATTTAGCTGAATAATATGTGATTATTCCACTATGTAAAAGCTGAATTATTATTGTAGATAGAAATAAAGTTACATCAACTTGAATTTACCAAAAAATTACATCTAAAACATACAAAATATTGATAAATGCATACCTTTTTAAGTACGTGTGTCCGCGTCTCCCGTGTTATTGACTGGCATCAGTGGTGGCGTGATCTCCGAAATGGCGGCAAATAAAATTAGGATATATCTTTCTAACATATTAGAACCATTGAATTCGGCATTACCCAGCGTTCGCGTTTCCTCCACTTTCCCCTAGTTGTTTCGATTTTACCACCCTATTCTCTTTTAAATTATCAGTTAAGAAATGACCAGTGCGTCTCTTATAGGCTGCAAGTCCTAAGTAATCTATTAAAATACGCGACATGGTTCTAGGTGCTATCTTCATCTCCCGAGATAAAATCTTTTGCTTTCGGACAGGATTTCTTCGAATTCCTTCCCTTACTGCTTTGACCACCTTTTTCGTACGAACACTACGTGGACGGCCAGATCTTTTTCCGTCACAAACAGAGGAGGTCTCATTGCACCTATTAATAGCCCGGTACACAAGCATTTTACTAATACCAAGCGTATGGAGAGTTTTAAAAATTGCATTTGGCTCCATACCTACTTTGTGTAATGCAATCACAGCGATTCGGTTCTCTTTATCACCCCACTCCATTTTGATATCGCAAAATATTGTACAATGTATTGGCGCCAAAATGAGAAAACTCAATGAGCAATCATATAAAAATGACAGATTCCAACTTCAAATGTAATATTTTGTTTATTTTTAATTGTAACAGTATTTATGGCCAGACTAAGTATATATCGATTTCGACCTTACGTGGGAACAGCATTCACTTGGTGATGTCTATTACTTTCTGAAACCAACGAAGACCGGGTTACATATCGAGGAGTGAAAGGCTATTTGGTTTAAGCGACATTTCTGTAACTTTACAGGAGAGCTATTTAAAGTTAAAAATTTGGAAAAATCTCATAATAAATAATTTTTTTAGTTGTTTAAATAAATTAAACTTAATTGAAGGTCAATTAAAAACATCGAACTGTTCTCACGCTAATCACTACATAGTATAAAACAAAGTCGCTTTCTCTGTCCCTATATCTGTCTGTCCCTATGTATGCTTAAATCTTTAAAACTACGCAACGGATTTTGATGCGGTTTTTTTTAATAGATAGAGTGATTGAAGAGGAAGGTTTATATGTATAATAACATCCATTAAATAGTGGAGAAATCAATAATAAATTACAGTTTCCGAAGCGAACCGAGGGCGGGTCGCTGGTACCGAATAAAACGCATCTTAAGTTACAAAGATAAATTTCGCGTATTAAGCGAAATGTCGCTTAAACCAAAGTAGCCTTTCACCCTTCGATATTATAATGCTAATGATCTAAGCAATAAAAAAAACTACCAACGGATCGAAAACGCGACCCACTGAGAAGATACGGCGAGAAACACAGTGGGCTGGGTCTATGGGTTAATTTACTTGTCGAGCCCTTAGCCGCAAGCGACGGGTTCGGCGAGGACGGTGACCGGGCAATGACGTCTTATTCTAGTGTTGAATGAGGCTCGACTGAACCGAAGGTTGTGCTGTCTTCAAGCTCCATTTGCCGCCTAGTATCAGATAGACCGCTTAATAAGAATTGAACGTGTCATCAACACGCCGATCTCATCTTTATGCGAAGAACGTTACCATCGGCCCCAGTTCTGACACAGTACGTGCGCTTGTCCTTCAGTGTTTAGTATAAAGTTCGGGCTACACGGTAATTGAACATCATTCAGCTCAGCAGTAGCTCAGTGTACGACTCCAGTCAAAATGTTCAAATTGGTGAGTTAAGAATTTATTTATTTGTCTTATGAATTAATTGTAACCTCGACACTTTTTCTGTAACGAATAGTTAAAGTCCATCCGAAATTACGAGTATTGTACCGTTAAATCATTGAAAAGAAGAAATTGAATAAATTCCTGAATCGCGCTAACGATATTATCAAGACAAGTTTGCATATAAACAAGTTCAAAAGAATCAAATAAGAACTATGGATCTAATCAAGCAATTTCACTCTCTCGTTGTAAGATCTTCCTTTTGTCGTTAACCTCTAAAGTGTAATAAGAATTCAATTCATCGCTAATCAAATGTATTTTTATTACAGTTCATCTTCGCTTGCTTCCTGGCCTTCGCCGCGGCTAAGCCCAGCGTCCTTCTCAGCTCGTACACGGCTCCCGTCGCATACACCGCGCCCGTCGCGGCTGCCTACACCGCTCCGCTGGCCTACTCAGCCTACACCGCACCAGTAGCAGCCTACTCCGCCTACACATACGCATCACCCTACGCCGCTTACTACCTCCGACGTTAATGCTATCTGTAAAATTTTTTCGATTCAAAACTATGTTCGGCTGACCAAATAAATGGATTTTGTTGCTACCTGATCAAAACACTCGTTTTTATTATTAACAATTTCATTGAATGCCAAATTTTCATCAACGATTTATGTTCTTTCATTCTTTTCAATCCACAATTAGATAGCATACTAGTGACTATTTCGAACCCAGGTTTTCGTTTGTAAAAATTTGAAATGAAACTAATAATTATGTAATTACACGAAATGAAAAGCTTAGTCTGTTCATATAACCTATAGTAATATTATTGTATTAAATTACAGATTTCTGTGGTGATTATTAAAATTTTGTTGTTAAATATCTATACTAATATTATAAAGCTGAAGAGTTTGTTTGTTTGAACGAGCTAATCTCGGTAACTACTAGTCCGATTTGAAAAATTCTTTCAGTGTTAGATAGCCTATTTATTTAGAAAGGCTATAAACTATATAACGTCACGCTAAGACTAATATAAACGGAGCACCAATAAAGAATGTTTCAGAATTGGATTTTTTTTTCTTTCTACGTAAATGAAGTAGCAAATCAAATTTAGCGTTATGCTCAAGTAACTATTCCACGCGGCTTCCAAGAGGCTTAAATGGTGACAAATTAATGTAATGCTGTATACATCTATCATAGATCGTATCGTACGTTTCTATCATAGATTTTTTTGCCATTTACCATCCGGCTCTAGAATGAACTCCTGTACACTGTAGTAAGTACTACGCTACACAGAGCGTTATGACATGCCTTTTTTCAAACGCGACTTCTGGAGAGATCTTAAGTAAGCAGCGACTTGTCTACACTCATCGCATTGCTGTCGTCCAGGAGCAACGATAACCACTTAATGTTCGTTTGCCTGCAAGGCAATTAAGAACGTGTCAGCTACATCATAAAAATTCAAAGTAAAAGTTTTTCACCAAGACCTAATAAGAAGCTAATACCCCATGGTCATAGTCTTTTCCAACTCTAGAAACGTATATAACAGGGACAGTTTTATTTAATAATAAAACCTATTTAGACAGGTCCATATTATTAAAGGCTTTTTTTAATATTACCCAAAATGCTCGCTTGTTTAAGACATCTTTAAGTAGTCGTGGCCCAAAGGATAAGACGTCCGGTGCATTCGTACCTAGCGATGCAACGGTGTTCAGAATCCCGCAGGCGGGTACCAATTTTTCTAATGAAATACGTACTCAACAATTAATGTTCATGATTGACTTCTACGGTGAAGTAATAACATCGTGTAATAAAAATCAAATCCGCAAAATTATAATTTGCGTAATTACTGGTGGTAGAACCACTTGTGAGTCCGCACGGGTAGGTACCAACCACCACTCCACCTATTTCTGCCGTGAAGCAGTAATGCGTTTCAGTTTGAAGGGTGGGGCAGCCGTTCTAATTATACTGAGACCTTAAGACTCATATCTCAAGGTGGGTGGCGGCATTTACATTGTAGATATCTACGGGCTCCAGTAACCACTAGACACTAGGTGGGCTGATAGCTCGTCCACCCATCTAAGCAATAAATAAAAAAAATGCTCGTGTATCCGTAAAAAATTGTCAAGTCTAAATTCTCTTCCTGCTCAATTTTTTTTGGGTGACTTCGTAATGACGTTTAATAGATGGCATCTCTGTGACATAAATAGTCTCGTCAATTGATTTTGCTTAAAGATTACCATTTTGTAAGGGTTTTTTTTTTGCAAGTACCCTATAACTTAAATCTAAGAACGGCAAGTATTGTTATAAACTGTTCTGAACTTAAGAGAAATCATGATAACGTTCGGATTTACAGCGTTACTTACATTATAATTATGTAGTTTAACAACAAGCAACTCATATATTCCCGAAACGAGAGACACGGGATGTATTACTCAATACACACGACATGGCAATTTATAAACCTCAGGATTCCAAAATGTTACTTTATTTGAAATCATCATCAATCAAAAAATATAATAAAATAGTAGAATCCGTTGTGCCTAGATTGGAGAACGCAATGAAGATGAAAACGGTTTTATTAAATAAAATATATTAAATGTGACATTTATAAGCCACAGTATTAAAAATTAACCATAGAGTTTTAGAAATATTTTATATAATTATGGAATTTTTTTACGTTTCCGGAATAGTTACCAGTAATGTAGAGATATGTAGAGAACAGTTTGAGAACAGGTAGAGAACTATTAATATGGAACAGAATGAAAAGGATTTGTTACATTAAAATTAGATTAAGAGTATTATCTTGCTTTATTTATAGACTTTTATGCTGTTTGCAATTAGAAATTTTAGTACAAATAATAAGCTTAATCTGAATGTGACCCTATCTATCTGATTATTGCGTTTGAATGCCTAAACCACTGAATCGATTTTAATGAAATTCAGTACAAAATTAGTATGAATTCTAGGGTATCGGCTCCCTTTCATACCACTATTGAGCATGGGTGTTCGAACATGGGATGTTATAGTAAAGTTCACACAAGCGAAGAAAGTGTACTATAATTAAATACCACGAGAATCATTAAGTGAAAGGGAGGAAGTCCGCCAAAAACTAATAAGTAATTTCACACACTATTAAACGGCTTCTCACTACGATTTTGACATTTAATTACTTCCCAATATTTCGGCATTGTTGCAACAATCACGCGATCAGGGGTAGACTGTAGTGTATGTTTTTAACAAAATTGGGTGTAACATAAATAGTCGCAAATGTTCAAAACAATTCGCCCTAAGCCATTATTTTTAACTTAATTTAGAGTAGTACCTTATTGCTACAGTCTATATATATACACCGCAGCAGAAATTTAGATAAAAAATGGTGCGCGTGCAACTTGGTGCACGTGAAAAAAATAAAAGTAAAACTTCGTTTGCGGTATGTAGTATTTTGGTTTTCTTAAGTATAATTTCTTGGTATAAGAGAAACAATCTAGCTCATTTTGTCCTTTCCCTTTCTCCGCGGTCGAGTGATTCGCGAGACGCTCTGTCTATTTTCTCACTCGCACTCTGCCTTAATTGTATCTTTTCTCTTTAGCCGTAACGAATCTGTCGCGAGTTAAATTTTACTCACAGCTCGCTTAAAGAAGTTTGTTTCACTTCAAAAAGAAAATATATACATGTGGGAACGAAATTTGTGAATGAATAACAGATATGGAGCATGACTGAGTGAGAGAGATATGTCGCGTTAGAAGTTAAGAAAGACGGCGAATCAATGTTGGAAGCAAAGTTTTATTTTTAAGCGAGAGGAGGAATACCGGACACAGCAGTGAATAGACGCAGTGTAACTCGGAAGACGGAAGACGTTTATATTTTATTTACTTATAATAAGATAGACGGAATTAAAATCGAGTTTGGGAGCAGCTATTAACTTTTTCATTGGCTCAAACCGAATAGAGAATCCCACATAAATATCCCACATAAAAATAAAAATAATAAATTCCAATAACATCAATTTTTATTTTTGTATCATGTTTGGGTAACTGTTGCATCTGGAGTATTTAACGTCGGAGGTAGTAAGCGGCGTAGGGTGAGGCGTATGTGTAGGCGGAGTAAGCTGCTACTGGTGCGGTGTACGCTGAGTAGGCCAGCGGAGCGGTGTAGGCAGCCGCGACGGGCGCGGTGTATGCGACGGGAGCCGTGTACGAGCTGAGAAGGACGCTGGGCTTAGCCGCCGCGAAGGCCACGAAGCAAGCGAAGATGAACTAAAAATAAAAACAAAATAAACTTTAAAACGTTATCCCAACAATTGTAATTTTGACATATTTGAGATTTTTTGTCCTAACTCTGAACCTTTAAACTGTCATAAGCTTGGTTGTGACTGTTGCTATTTTAATCATTATATCATGTTGATATGAGTACATCACTATTACTATATTGATGGCACATTAAAAGGCAATGGTTCAAAGTTTTTTGAAATTTGAAATTATAAATGCCATTTCTATACACGTAATTGCACACGTAAATGCGATCAAATTGATGGAAAGTGATGTACAAATTTCATCACTAAAATGATCAGCTAACGTCTTGGGGTTAAAATATAAATATTATTATTAAATGCTATTATATATTATTGAGAATGTCGAAAAAACATATTTTAAACAATCGTTAAAACAGTTAATTTTCATCAATCGAGCTGTTTGAATAATTGTGAATTGAATGTAGAAGAAAAAAAGTGAGAGTCAAAATAAGGCTCACCAGTTTGAACATTTTGTTGATTGTCAGTGGACTAGTTCAGAGTTGAATGATGTTCTGTGGAAGCCTGCCTCACTCTTTATACAAAGTAATGAAGGACAAGTGCACGCATTCACGCAACGCGAGAATTCACGGATTCGTTGCTTGCTCCCATGCGTTGAATAATAAGCAGAGCAGTTACAATTTAAATCAGAATTAAATATAAAAAAAACGTCTCGACTTATTTGAATGCATTCAAAATGTTTTTTTACATACAAATAATAATTATAATAATAATTGACTGGTGGTAGGACCTCTTGTGAGTCCGCACGGATAGGCACCACCACCCAGCCTATTTCTGCCGTGAAGCAGTAATGCGTTTCGGTTTGAAGGGTGGGGCAGCCGTTGTACCTAACTATACTGAGACCTTAGAACTTAGATCTCAAGGTGGGTGGCGTATTTACGTTGTAGATGTCTATGGGCTCCAGTAACCACTTAATACTAGGTGGGCTGTGAGCTCGTCCACCCATCAAAGCAATAAAAAAAAACAGGATAATGCAGGAGAAAGTTATTAAAGGAGTTAGAGGAGAAAGTTATTAAAGTTATTAAATCAGCATTGAGGATTATCGACGCAAGCAGGAGGAGGAGGAGGAGGAGGAGGAGAATAATAGTTGAGTACCCGCACGGCTTGGTACCACCGACATATTTTGGCTGTATAGCAACTAGGTTACAGATCGTGGAATATGTAGATTTATTTAATACTAGCTTTTGCCCGCGACTTCGTCCGCGTGGAATAGTTCACAAATAATGCTTTATGTTAGAGCAAATTTGGTTAACATAAAAAATGCTATAGTGAGTCAACCTTAACATATAGACATATGCTGTCGCGGACTTTTTTTTGGATCTTTTAAAAGAGAACAATTCTGTTATTCATTATTTTAGCGAAACTTTAACCGTTTCTGCAACGCACGAAGCGGAAGCTCTCAAAAGGTAAAAATAACCACGATTTTGAAACATTCTTTATTGGTACTCCGCTTGTATTGGTCTTGGCGTGATATTATATGGCCTTATAGCGTTCCTCGATAAATGGGCTATCTAACACTAAAATATTTTTTTCAAATCGGATCAGTAGTTTCTGATATTAGCGCGTTCAAAGAAACAAACTCTTCAGCTTTATAATATTACTAGCGACCCGCCCTCGCTTCGCTTCGGAAACTGTAATTATTACATTCCCGATCCTGCGGACAGAATGGAAAGCAGTCGACGTCGCCCAAAACACGTCATCTCGGATCTTCCCGATCCACTAACGGTGCTTCTAGGTACTTCAAGCACCGGTCACCGTTCTCGTCGAACCCGTCGCTTGCGACGAAGGGCTCGACGAGTAAATTAACTCCCAGACACAGCCCACTGAGTTTCTCGCCGGATCTTCTCAGTGGGTCGCGTTTCCGATCCGGTGGTAGATTCTGCGAAGCACGGCTCTTGCTAGGGTTCGTGTTAGCAANAGACACAGCCCACTGAGTTTCTCGCCGGATCTTCTCAGTGGGTCGCGTTTCCGATCCGGTGGTAGATTCTGCGAAGCACGGCTCTTGCTAGGGTTCGTGTTAGCATCGTCGTCAGGTTTGAGCCCCGTGAGCTCACCTACAAACGTTAGGGTTACGCTGAAATAGCCTCTCAAGGCTCTCAGCTTAGGTAGGAAAAAAACAAAAAAAAAAAAGGAATTTATTATTGATTTCTCCACTATTTAATTAATGTTGTTATACATATAAACCTTCCTTTTCAATCACTTTATCTATTAAAAAAACTGCATCAAATTCCGTTGCGTAGTTTTAAAGATTTAAGTATTCATAGGGATATAGGGACAGAGAAAGCGACTTTGTGTAAGTGTAAGAAAGCTACGAGTGAAGTATAGATAAATTAGTTAATATTTATTATTAAGCAATTTGTATGTCAGATACCGTCCAGGTTCCGTATAGCCCGCCGATCGAGTGAGCTGACCATCATGAAGTTAACGATCGATCTAACATCTCTTGAGATAAGATGGCGAAATCTGTAGAGCTATCGCTTACTTTTCTAATTTTTAAGCTCAGCTACTAAGCCTTTTTAATGTATTAAGTTACACTGACGTTGTGGTCTCTATGGGATCGGTAACATTTTACTTGATATAAGATATCACAAAATACACGATCGGCCTATCTACGTCAATAAGTTATATTAAGTTCATCTGGAAGTAATCGTTTTAAATGTTTCTTTAACCCGGTTTATTACTTTTACTTGTACATGGCCCGGAGTCCTTTCTTGTTTCACCAGGACAGATTGGTTGAGCCAAGAGAGGTGGAATTTGCTAACAGTTGCTTGAGAACACTTGAAGAAAACCTCACAGCTCATAGGCAGTTGTTGGGCGATCGCACCTACACTGGACCGGAATCGCGACCCTCCGAGAAAATCTGACAAGAAACTCAGCGGGCTAATGTTCCAAACATTAGCGCGCTGAGTTTGGGCGCTAATGCCAGAGAGTGGAAGTATTCGTGTGTGATTTTTGTGGAATTTTTTACTAAGTTTTCAGTAACTTTTTATTATAATTATTTTTTTTAATGAAGGAACTGTGAAACCTATGACGGCCCCGAAATTTCATAAATGAATCATTCATTTGCAAGAAGAATAATTTATTTGTTAAGAGCGGTGTTTTTTTCATTTCAATGCTTTAATAAAAACATCATAATATTTCTTTTTGAAATTATTTTTTGCTACTTAGCTGCCGGTAGCCTCAAAGGGCTATTCGCCTTGGGTGGTAGATAAGTTCACAGGACTCGGCCCGTTAGGATTTATTAGAATATGTCCTATCAAGAGCAGTGCTACGCTAGATCTACCACCGGATGCGAATCTGGCTAAAACCCGGCGAGAAACTCAGTGGGTTGTGTTTGTGGGTAAAATTGCGCTTCGAACTCTTCATTCGACGAATTCGAGAAGAATAGTATAAAGGTTATGCTTGTAATGCCTAAAAGCTCCGAGATGGAAGGATTCGAAATAACACGTTTAGGACGACGGCGCGGCGGCGGCTGCCCCGTCGTGTCGTCCGAGTCAGGTGTGTAAGTTTAATAGTGAAAATGTCAGTTATTGTCACAGATTATTTACCTAGGCGGTATTGAAAATTTCGGGAATTAACGAAGTGACACAACATTACTATTTAAAAATGTATTTATTGCTTTTCGAAGTATTCTCCGCGAAATTTGACACATTTTTCCATACGATGGAACCAATCATTGAAGCAACCATTCCATTTGGAAGTTGGGGTCTCCAAAATGGCCGTTTTGTAGGCGTGCACAGCTTCTTCAGGTGATGAAAATCTCTGTCCACGCAATTTATTCTTTATTTTAAGGGAAAGTATAGAAATCATTAGGGCTTAGGTCGGGGCTGTACGGCGGATGGTCTAATAATTCTATGTTTTCTTGCTCTAAAAACTCTTTTGTTCTGTGCGCGGTGTGAGAACTCGCATTGTCGTGATGGAGGAGGATGCGGCGGTTGCAGTTCTCTTTACGGAGTTCAGAAACGACCTGTGGCAAACAAATGCTAGCATACCATTCTGCATTAACCGTTCTTTGTCCCTCAAGAGGAATAGTCGTAACATGGCCGGTTTTGGAGACAAACGTGGCCACCATTTTTTTTGCAACACTCCGTGAACGAACAATTTTTGTTGGCTTTAACTCATTTTCGAACACCCAAACTCGTGACTGGTTTTTTGTTTCGGGTTCGTACGCGTATATCCAGGATTCGTCACCTGATACAATGTTGTATACAGCATTTGAGGATCCTGCGTGGAATCTTTCGAGAGTTCTGACGCACCAAGTAACGCGAGCCGCTTTTTGCTCTTCACAGAGCGAATGCGGTATCCATCGGGAAAACAACTTTTTTACACCTAATTGTTCATGCAAGATTATTTGTATTTGACTCATGCCAATGTCTAAAGTTGCCTGAATTTCGCGGTATGTCACATGTCGATCTTCCTCAATCAGCTTACGCACAGCATCAACGTTTTCTTGGGTGACTGCAGTTTTTGGACGACCTTGACGGGGATCATCACTGAGCTTGACACGTCCACGTTGAAACTCAGCAAACCAGCGATAAATTGTGGTTTTGGATGGGGCTTCATCACCAAATGCAGAAATCATCCGGTCAACACACTGTTTTTGTGTTAAACCACTTCGAAAGTCATAATAAATCATCGCTCTTGAATTTTCTCGAGTCAATTCCATTTTCTCAAAGACTAAACAAGTTTGACAAAACCTCGTGACAAGACCGAGAATATTTTTTTAAATAAATAAATGGTATTCGATTTTTAAAACCAAGGAGTTTTCAATTAAAAAGATTTTAATATGACAGGAACAGTGGAAATATTCCATTCCCGATACTTTTAGTGCAGCCCTCGACAAGAGTGTTTGAATTTTAGCCGTTAAAATGAATAAATCTTTAAAATAAATTCATCATTTTGAGCGATAATTTCTTAATTCACGGTTTATCTACTCGAAGAGAGTTCGAGGTATCAAATATATTAAGGTGTTATTTTAAATTATACTTTAAAACTGTATAAAAGCTTTCACAAGTCTGAAGTCTTTGTATAATGGGTAGGTCAGCTGTCAGAAATACATGGGATTGAGACTTCGATTGACACTTTATGTTTTAAAGTGGACGATTGCATTCAACTTGCAGTATTCTATATTATCTCAATCAGCGTATTGTGCATATTGCAATATTTGAATTTTCTTTGTTTTTCGCAATTAAGACTTCGAACTGGTGTCCGAAGATGGGTGGTTGTGTCAGTGAGCTCCTGTGACTACTACACACAGGAAGGACCACGAGTTCGTTAATCCATCTAGCACAATTATATAGTTAATTACTATGTAATCAATACAATTTATGTACGTATATATGTACCACAAAATCCTGAACTTGAAAATTATAGCGTTTTAGCTAATTAAAATTCCTTTTGCAGCAAAGGCTGTTACACATACAGAGCTAAGCTACGCTCATATTAAGCTAAGAGAAATAAGTCATAGCTACAGATGAATTAGAAATGTGTTGTATGCACGTCCACGATTAAGGTAAAGCTAAGGATCTTCTACATGTACTTCTTGGACGGTTGTTTGGAATCTCTGGGTCAAGAGACTCTGGTTCCATGTGAAGTTTGTACCGTATGCTTGTAGGAGAGAGAGTAGTTCACATAATATATGGGTACAATAGTTAATTTACTAAACTATTATATGTCAATTTTTTCATTCGTTCAATTAACACGATAATTTAAAAAATGTGGTCTTATTTTTTGAATCTATATAAATGGCATTAAAAAAAATGACATGACACATAATAGATAGGAACATTAAGAAATGAGAGTTTCCATTATTCAGGTAGCAAGTATATCGGTTTGTTTATTTCGGCAGATAGAGTGGATACATATTTCCGCATAAAATTATTTAACGTCGGAGGTAGTAAGCGGCGTAGGGTGAGGCGTATGTGTAGGCGGAGTAGGCTGCTACTGGTGCGGTGTAGGCTGAGTAGGCCAGCGGAGCGGTGTAGGCAGCCGCGACGGGCGCGGTGTACGCGACGGGAGCCGTGTACGAGCTGAGAAGGACGCTGGGCTTAGCAGCCGCGAAGGCCAGGAAGCAAGCGAAGATGAACTGAAAATGATTTGATAATTTTCATATATAAAAATATTGTTTAGAACTGATTTAAGACATTGTTATACACGCATTGTTTCACAAGAACTATGTAATATTATATATTTTTTTTATTGCTTTGATGGGTAGTCGAGGTCAAAGCCCACCTGGTGTTAGGTGGTTACTGGAGCCCATAGACATCTACAACGTAAATGCGCCACCCACCTTGAGATATAATTTCTAAGGTCTCAGTATAGTTACAACGACTGCTCCACCCTTCAAACCGAAACGCATTACTGCTTCACGGCAGAAATAGGCAGGGCGGTGGTACCTACCTACCCGGACTCACAAGAGGTCCTACCACCAGTAAATATCCAGATCCACATAAAACTCTCCTATTCGACGTGCAATAGGTTCATATCGTTCACATGTAGTTCAACTTCAAAAATCGAAGCGATTTCATATTGATAGAAGTAGATAAAATAATTATGAAACTGATTAAGGCTCACCAGTTTGAACATTTTGCTGATTGTCAGTGGACTAGTTCAGAGTTGAATGATGTTCTGTGGAAGCCTGCCTCACTCTTTATACAAAGTAATGAAGGACATGTGCACGCATTCACGCAATGAGAGTGTAACCTTATCATTCGTTCAATACAGTATACATTGAATTGTAATTAGATTTATATCAAGTAACAACGGCTTTTGGATACAAATGTATTAAAGAGACGTACGAGATATAGATAAAAAAATAGCGTTATTAACACCTTTTACATCAAAATAAAAATGTAAAAAATATTTTATTTTATACGGTTTTCGGTAGTCATAAAAATATTTTTTTAATTAAGTTTTAACTTTTACGGCTTAATTTCAAATTAATTATAGAAAAAAAAGTCTATTATTTATAGGATATATTTATAGTCTATCTATACAGTGGTTAATGGTAGTAGGACCTCTCGTGAGTCCGCACGGGTAGGTACCACCACCCTGCCTATTTCTACCGTGAAGCGGTAATGCGTTTCGGTTTGAAGAGTGGGGCAGCCGTTGTAACTATACTGAGCCCTTAAAACTTATATCTCAAGGTGTGTGGCGCATTTACGTTGTAGATATCTATGGGCTCCGGTAACCACTTAACACCAGGTGAACTGTGAGCTCGTCCACCCATCTAAGCAATAATAAAAAAAAGACGTCTATGGGCTCCAGTAACCACTTAACACCAGGTGGGCTGTGAGCTCGTCCACACATCTAAGTAATAAAAAAAAAACAACTCTGAGGGCCATTTCCACCATAGATAAATTTTAATAATATCTTATATAAATGTCTTAAAGATCTATCTAATATAAATATCTTAAAGAGAACTGCAATATATTCCAAGCATCACACAAAACATAAAAATAATAAACAAGAGATTAAACTCTATAAATGTTTTTAAATATGTAAAGACTAGTCAAAAAATCTTTTTATTATATCTGTCAGTTAAACTACCGAAGCTGTTGACCCGATCTTCATTTTATGAACTTTAATTTAAACTTAATAAAAAATACAATACTTTAAAGTGATTGTTCGAAATTTGGAAATAAAAAAGATATCTCTAGAATAACACGAACGTTCAGTTAATCAAATCATTATCTTACTTCGTGTTCTCTACATGCATTTAAATTTGTATTAACTAAATATATTATCAACATACTTTGCGTCATACTTGGCAACTGAATTTGAAAAATATATGATGTTTTTGCAAGGTTTGCGAGGTGTGGAGTAGTAGAGAGCAGTATTAAATACGAAATTTCTCAAATGACCAAGTGACGTTTTACCAGCCTTCTTTTTTTCTCTACCTATTTGGGGGTAGCCTAAAGGGCTATTCCAGCTAAGCTCTGGCTGTTACGTGTGTTCACGGGTTCAACCAGAGAGAGCATGCTTACATTGGCCCTAGCAAGAACAGTGCTTCGCAGAATCTACCACCGGGTCGTAAGTTCCGGTGACAAACCCTGTAGATTTTGTCTATGAGAATCTGTCCTCAAACTGCAAGTAGAGACAAGAGTCCGTACTTAACATAACATCAGAATGTCACCTACGCTTCGTATGAAGTATCAATTTGTTACTTTCAATGTAACGCAATTTACACTCAATCAAGATCATAGCTTTTTAAATATATATTTGATTCTAAACTATATTTTATAATGCTGTTGTACAATTACATAGACAAACTATTAACAGTGCATGATCAGTGCGTAAAATATACAAATTACTCGTAACACGCTCTAAGCTAAGTTTGTGTTATTGAGAATTTCATAAATAATATTAATTACATTTAATCGATTGTTTTCAATGCAACATTTATACCTGGCAGCAATGCTTTGCTTTATCGTTCTGGTATTTTGTAACCATAAATTATCGAAATAAGTAGTTCTTTACAATTCTATTTTTCGAGCTTTTTCTTGTAATCATGTCAGGTGTTATCTGTAAAGTATTAGCTAAAGCGTCCATTAAAAATTAAAATTTTACTACTTATAATGTGCAGATGATATCACAGGCCATTCATGTTAAGCAGTTACCGGGGTTCGTAAGCATAATAAAGCAAAAGACACCGCTCACTTTGAGACATTCATGTCTTCTACTACTACTACTACTACTTCAGTAGTAATATTAGTATTATATGTGTACTCAAAACCTGGAATGCCTATTGATTCGTGGGAGACACAGTCCGATTGATAGCCCTCCGCTTGGAGTTACAATATGTTCAATTACCAATTATTATCGTACATTCGTATCGTACATTTTTTTGATTGAGGCACCCTTTACTTATTATCTTCCGGAATAAAACCGGTTATGATTTTTTAAATGCCTTTGTCTAAATATAGTAGATAATAACCTATTTACTTATTTACACAATTTTTTATTTATTTATTTATTTCACTTACTTCAGATTTTGCATCCCTATTACATTAATTAACATTTCATATATTATAGTATACCAGAATTAAATGAAAACAATAACTACGATCTCAGGATAAAACAAAAGCAATAATAACAATAATAAAACAAAAAATCAAATAATAATAATTATAACAATAAATAAAATATTATTATTTCTACTACAGGAGACGATTACCAAGTTATCTTCCACTAGATGCTTATTGAAACCGTAATATTTGTATTAATTATATCTACTTGCGAAAAGCTAAGAAAACAAAACAAAAGCATTCCATCGAAACGTTGACGACGCTGATTTTAATGCTGAACTCGTAGTTAAGATTTATATTCGCTGATTATTTCGTCAAACGTGACTTTATGCGGTTAACATTCTACATTGCCAGTTCTTTTGTAATGTTTGTAAACAATTCATGTGCTTTAATGTCTGTCATTCGGCAGTACTTTACGAACAGAATGATTGAAGCGTTTGATTATTTAAATTGCATTATCTAAAATCTCATTGCCTTCTTGCATCGACATTAAATCATCTAAAACAAAAACCGGGAAGGTGTCAAACGGACAAAACGATTTTGTTCACCACTTGGCGCTAAAATACTTTTATTCTTTTTTTTTTAATATATTCTATTATTGCTAGAATAGTATTAACAATATAAAACACTATAACATCATGCAAACAATTAGATATCTTTTTCATTAATATCAACGGCAGTTCCAGCGAAGTGGACGGGTTTAATAAAATAGTGTTTTTTCCAAATAGCAACAAAATGTATTTATTTGATTAATCGTTCATGATATATTCCAAGGTAGATTACGTTTGCGAAACTCGATTAACGGCGGAGGTAGTAAGCGGCGTAGGGTGAGGCGTATGTGTAGGCGGAGTAGGCTGCTACTGGTGCGGTGTAGGCTGAGTAGGCCAGCGGAGCGGTGTAGGCAGCCGCGACGGGCGCGGTGTATGCGACGGGAGCCGTGTACGAGCTGAGAAGGACGCTGGGCTTAGCCGCGGCGAAGGCCAGGAAGCAAGCGAAGATGAACTGCAAAACATAAATCTTGGTTAAAATAAAACTTTTCATTACTAACCTGCTTTCAGCTGTATTCTCTAATTATCCAGCATAAGCAGTCAAAAAAGCAAATGATCCGATAAACAACCAGTAAATGAAAATAAAATAATAATAGGTAAATTCGATTTAAAAATCAGTATTCAAGATTAATAATTAATATTTAAGTTTCCTTGCCATTAAATATAACAGTCTGCGAACCTACATGTTAAAATAATTTCAAAATTAAAACTCACCAGTTTGAACATTTTGTTTGATTGTTATTGAGCTAGTGCACAGCTGAATGATGTTCTGTGGATGTCTGCACCACACTTTATACAGTGTAATGAAGGGCAAATGTACGCTTTCGTGCAATCCGACGACTTAGCTCAGAAACACAAGCACGTACGGCGTGCCGGGGCCTCCGCGCGTCCACCAAGGTTCCATCGAAGTCGTAGTCAGGGCAATCCCAGTGTCCAACTAACTCCGGCTCTGTGAAGAATGATTGGGAGAATGGGCATAGAAGAAAATTTCTCCACCTCACTCCACCGTAACTATTCAGAAGGTAACGACCTCGCAAAAAATGGGGATCGCCACCATTGAATAGTTGTTCTCGACAATAAGCCGCACGAAGGCTGAAAAGGATAGACCCACGCTTAGTATACCTGAACTGCGCCTTGTCCGTATCAATATCCGCTATTTGCATTAATCCTGTCAATTCAAATAACTATAGCAACAAAATAAGTCTATTATTAATTCTTACCATTTCTAGCACTATTCTAGATGGTTATGTATGTCTATAGCTCGTTAAGAGTCATAGGACCACGGTTACTGCATACATATATATTATATCTCATATAACATATATCTGCATGCATATATCTTGAAAATTTCATAGAAGGTAGATTAGCATACGGCGGAACTGGTGGTGGTGAGTGGTCATCGTCTCTCATCTCTCACCGTCGATGACAAGCATATAAGACAAACTGCTGCCTATGACTGAAAACTTATCTCGAACCGCGCTTCAAGGGAAAACACCGTAGATGGGAGTTCAAATCGGCGATGAAATGCCCTTTTTGGGCTTGTAGTGATCGATTGAGCCATGAAAAAAATTAATTCCCATTAAAATATGTATTTTTTATGAATGGGCTCCCTCCATTAAAGTGCTCTTTCTCAAGGAAATAAACTCAATGTTAGTAAAAATATATCTCAACAAACCATTCATAAGAAAATATGTTGTAAATACGTTTGGACTAAAAACATTAAAAATGTTTCGAATTTATATTATTTTATGAGTTTCTAAAGCATTCGTTTTATCATATGCACAAGTACGGTGCGCCGCATACCTAAGCTTTATATACGGTGCGTTAAGGTACCTCAAGCACCGGTCACCATTCTTGTCAAACCCGCTTGCGACGGAGGGTTCGGCAAGTAAAGTGAGTGATAGACACAGGCCACCCAGCCCAGTTTCTCGTTAGATCTTCTCGGTGGGTCGTGTCTCCGATCTGGTTGTAGATTCTGCGAAGTACTGCTCTTGCTAGGGTCAGTGCTAGCAGCGCCTCCTGATTTGAGCTCACCTACACGTTAAGGTTACGCTTAGGTAGGGAAAAAAAGCTTTGTTTTTTTTTCTTGAACTATAATTTCATTTACATTCGGGACAGAATCGCGCGTCTGGAAAGGTTTCAAAAATTATATCTTTCACTCGAAATAGTTTTTCGCATTTGGCATTTCGGCGTCCCTGTGTGGCGCCTAGAAGAACCAACCTTCTCTGAAACTGATTCACTAATATTATCATTAGTCGTCTGCAGCTAATAGGGACCCGTGTCCGTCGAGCTCGTCAAAGAGTTCGACGTGAAACCTAACCTATACATCAGCCCGCTGAGTTTCTCTCCGTATCTTCTCAGCGGATAGCGATTACGATTCGGTACTGCAAGCATTCACGAAGTAGCTGCCCTTGATCTGTTAGGTCTGCTTCGGAGGTGCTCTGGCAGGTGTTAGCAAATCTAGACCTCTTCTACAGCTCGTACTCACTCACCTGTTCACCAGAAATTTCTCATTCCAAAAAAATATCTTCTTCGCTCTACCTTAAGACCGCCGCTAGCTCCACAAAAGCCAAGACTATCAATACGAGTATACGATAAGTTAAGTGAAGAATAGCAATTAGTTAAGAATATAAGCGAGTAGTTTCCAGAAATCGATATTTTTTTATACAGCCAAAGATTCTCCACTGGTTTTACGAGAAAATAAAAAAAGTGTTCCTCAGAGCTTTATTTGGACCAGTTTTATTTTTGGAACAGTAATAAAGCGCGAACCGATTTTTAAAATTTATTTGTATAACCGGTATGTAATAATATAATGCATATCATATTTTCGATTTGGCGATGCGATATTTAGGCAATGTTAAACCTAAGAGCAGTACGACAAGTAAGTTAGAGTATTTCCAGCAGCGAAATTTGAAAAATGCATTCATCAAAATTTGCAACTATTTTCATGGATTTTTACGATGGATTACGTTTTTGAATGAATAATTAATTATTAATGTAATGAATAATTATATCAACATTGAAACAATGTCAAAGTCTTATTCGGAAATGAAAGCTATCTCACTTTCATAGATAAACGTAAATCAATCTCAATTTAAATGAAAACTTTGGAACGTCTCATTATATAAATCAGAGGCGGATGTTTTCACAGTGTCACACACTCACTGGTTCAGACAGATCAGCTTTTAAATTATCACATTTGAGTGATACTGATACGCAGATTTTACTCTTGAACTTTGAGATTTAAATATTTTTTACAAAATAGTGCTGTTCTATCACGAAAATTTTATGTAATACTAATTAATGTAAGCTAACTATTATTATATTAATTTAAGCGTAATTAAAAAATATTTTATTTATCAAAGCACACATTCTAAATAAATAAACATTAATTACATAAACAATTAATTAAAGGGAAAGCCCCGAAAGGTTCTAGATCTAATCTATCTACACCTAAGCTCGGGTCAACAACTTGAAAAGGGACAATGGAATTAATGTACCAAGGCAAAGTTTTAAATTACAAGCTCGTCCTGTACACATTCGTGAAGTTGCTTCATCGATTATTTATAAACAAAATACGATAAAATCATAACTTACTCAACTAGAACGAGATAGACGCAGGGAAAATAAGATCTGTAAAATATCTTTTACGAGAACATGATTATCGTTGGGGCCAGAAGGTTCTTGAGTGGCGACGGCGTACTGGGAGACGTAGCGTGGGTAGGCCTCCCACAAGGTGGGCCGACGACCTATTGAGGTTCGCGGGGATCCGCTGGATGCAGGCAGCGCAGGACCGGTCTTTGTGGCGAGGCTTGGGGGAGGCCTATGTCCAACAGTGGACGTCCATGGGCTGATAGAATAGAATAGAAAAAAAAGTAGTATTTGCTAATAGTAACAATAGTTACAAACGGTGTCCATACTAGACAACGATCGTACGATAGGGGCCATCTGTTATATGAATAATAGATTAAGTAAATACGCTGTTAATACTAGTCTTGTTCGTTTTGCGAATGAGACTATTAAATCACATGTCAACTTATACGCATACTTCGGTTACCATATTGATCATTAATATTTTATTGACAGCACACAGCTCAAGACTGATTTTCAATTATTTGTTGTAGCACGAACGATTTATTTTTAATAAACAATTTATTTTGATAGTTATAAAATGTTAAACGATATCACCGATTACAAATAAGTGATACATTTATAATGAAACCAGGAAACGATGCGTGTTTGTTTATTTTTAATTATGTTTTAATTTAATTAAATCCGAAAAATACATCGGTGAGTTCCCGAGACAGGTAATAGAAAACCCAACTTTTTATACCCATTAATAACATCATCGTTAATTTCTTTCAATCGCGTTTCTGGTCCCCATCAATGAATATGATGTTAGAATTGTACTTTTTTTCTTCTACCTATTCTAGTAACCTCGAGGGGTTATTCTAGATTCGCCAACCTCGTAGGTGAGCTCACGGGGCTCAAGCCTGACGATGTTTAGTAGCAAGAGCCGTGCTTCGCAGAATCTACCACCGGATCGGAAGCGCGACCCACTGAGAAGATCCGGCGAGAAAGTCAGTGGGCTGTCTGTGGGTTAATTTACTCGCGAAGCCCTTCGTCGTAAGCGACGGGTTCGACGAGAACGATGACCGGTGCTTGAGGTACCTAAAAGCACCGTGAGTGGATCGGGAGGATTCGAAATGACGTGTTTTGGGCGACGTCGACTACTTTCCATTCGATCCGCAGGATCGGGAATGAGAATTGTATAATTCGTAAACGCATCTTTATATCAATATCAACTGACAGCTGTCACTCGCCTAATATGTGTCAATTGTAGTGGTCGTCCTTTTATTCTTTCGTAGTCTATGACCAAATACACAAATCTATATATTAATACGTGAAGCAAAAACTGTGTATCCCTTTTTATGAAAATTGCGCGGACAGAGGAGTATGAAATTTTCCACATTTATAGAGAATATAGAGAAGAAGTGCACAATGCTAATATTTTTTTGAAATAATGCATAAAAGATACTTTAAATCAATAAAGAAAACATTACACACACTACATACCATGTATTTGACGCACACATGCATGCATACTATTTATTGTCAAACTTTTGTTCTTGACGTCTGTTGTCAAATTGAGATTAAATATTGTTTGTCTTTGTTAATATTTTTTATAGTGTAGTTTTGGCGAAATTTGTGATTACAGAAGTATAAAATACAATCACAATAGTGTACAAACTTACAATTCCAATTAATTATAGTCGAATTTCGACTACTGCGGGACCTTTAGTATAATATAATTACACAAATGACACAAATATGCATATCGCCGTTTGAATAAAAACTATCCTTGCAAATCTTCGTCTTTTTATACGAGGCCCAGACGATCACTTCAACATTATGAAAATGCAATTATATTTTACTGTTAATTAATCAGCAAAATATAGCTGATTGAATTTTAAGCAGAGGGTGTTTTTTTTTTGAATCCTTTATATTTTTTTCCTAAAAACCATTAGTTAAAAATACATAATAGTACATTTACAGCTCTAGATGTAACATAAATCATTTTATTTAAATTTGAAACTGACATTTAAATTTTATTATAGTTTACTCATCTAATTAATTCACAAAGCTCACACATTGCGATCGCAGTAGCGAGACCAGTATCGGTCAAATGCAAAACTAGTGCAATGGGCGATCTTGTCGCTAAGAGCAATGGTAAGTAGGTAGTAGAATTATAGATGGTGGCATTCAAATTGTTTATAGGCTAGAATTACTATTAAATTCCAGGTGTACCATGACTTCGTCTGACCGTCGGCAAAAATAGATAAAAAAATATGTGTGGTGTCGTGGGACACCGGATAGGAAAGAAGCTCCATATAAAAAAAAAAAATACGA